GTCCGAGTGGCTCTTTCTTTTCCACGGCCATGGCCACGGCGGGGGGGGTCCGCTTCGCTCATGGCATTGAACCGGCGGTGCCTTTTGGTTGTTTGCAAATGTTGCAAAAAGCCGACACGCCAACTTGCAACTTCTTCTTCGCCAGTGCTTCCACAAATCGAATTCATTTTGGCCTCCGATGCCTGGTGAAATGAAGCAGCCCAGCAACTGGTGCAAACAAAACTAGGGGTTCATGATCCTACCGTCACTGCGATCATGTATGATCCAACATACGGAGGGTCAGCTCAAGTGGAACGATCACTTGCAATGCATCTGCTCTGTTGCGAGCCCACGCGGCCCAGCTGTTTAGACCAGGACACAAAGCTCTATCCACTCAGAAACGCCTTTGAAGCGAAAAGGAGGGTAGCTATTTCGAAACTGATCCCCCGTTCTTCACTGATACCACCCGATCAAGCCCGTTGTTTGGCCTGTGATCTTCTTCAGGCCATACGCCATGGCGGCCTGATGTTCTCTTGATGTTCTTCACAGTGATGCCTCCCTTGAGAAAACTCAGAAACTGAAGTAGTATCAGAAGGACCGGTTGGGGGTGCAAATGTTCAGCAAATGATGTCCTCAGCAAATACCGGACACCTAAATCAAGCAAACAGGAAACCCTGTTGATCATCTTGCTTTGCTCTCTTTCCAGCAACTGGCTTCAACCATGAAGTTGGAGTGGATTTGTCTTGGTCACGCTTTGACCATCTGTGTGGCTCTAAACTTTGCTTCCTGGTTTGTGTCTTTGATCCCGCACGAAGCTGCAGGTCAACATGATCCTGGCTTCTCCCTCCCGTACCGGGCGAACACCTGCAGGTTGTGGAGGTTTCATGGTTTCATTCATATCCGAATTCATCCCAGATCAAGGGCCCCTCTGTTCTCAAGTTCCAAATGCTCTGTTCTCGATCTTAACATCTTCGGTCTCTTCCCTTTCACCCGTTTAGGCACTGACTTTGCCGGTGGAACAGTGAGAACGTTCAACTTTCTCCGTCCGTCTCCCAACACCACTCCTGAAAAGGCACACACATTGACCAACGGAAAATGGATGGATTTTCCACCTTCCTTCACAACGGACCACCGGTCTTTTTTCGGGAAGAACCTCCATCGAGTTCACCTCGACACACCACCCATCCCGTCACAGTCATCGGTCGCGGCCGTTTCTCCACGGTCATAGCGCGTCCACGCGCCGCGGGGCACCGGTTTCGGTCGATGCGGTAGTTGGGTACGGGCGATTCGGTGGGACGCTTCGGTGGCTTGTCTTTCGGAAGTCACACTGAGGCACCAAGTCGTCTAGAGCGTTCAAAGGCCCATGTCAGACTGTGTCAAAAGGGGATGAAGGAAGAAAACCATTTGTCGGGCATGCCGTATGCCTGGAACATCGGATCTGGATATCCTTCCATGCACAAAACTCGATGCGGTGCTGTTGGGCTTCTACGGTGATGGGGCCCTGGTGGCCTGCATCGGCTTGCTGCGTCGCGAGTTTCTGGCGATCGAGTCGCAAGTTCCACTCCCGGGTGCCTGGGAAGATGCTTTTAGAACACCGAAAACACCATCGAAATGAATGCCCTAAGCTTCCAACCACCATTCATTTAATAGGCTTTACCGAATCAACTAAGGGTTTTACACTACAAAGACCAGGTCGTTCCCATTATTCTTTTTTGTCGAACGGAAGTCTAGGGAATGATCAAAGAGGACCTTGGATCTGTTCCAAGTGATTTCAAAACCCAAAGACGAACCCAAGAATCTTCTTCACCTTGGCTTCTTGTGTCTGCACGTTTCTACCTTGGCATCGCTGACCCGCCTGACGGCCAGACTGCCTGTCCATCTCACCGTCTGTTGGGCACCCGGGGTTCCCTGATGCGGAAGAGCTCAGGCTGAAGCTTTTGCACCTCGCCGTTGCCGCCGTTTCACCGCTTCCGGTTTGCTTCCCGACCCGATCGGTGTGTGAAACGCCGCGCGACGCGGGAACGCACCCGATGGACCGATGCTGGCGAAGCACGAGGGGAAAAAAGAGAGGCCGAGGGACGTGAGCTTACTAGGGTCTTTGGAAAACGAGGTCTCTCTTCCATCAAAAAAAATCCCAGCGATTTTACCTCCCAAACCAGACCGGAAACCATGCCTCAAACTGCCTCAAACCTCCCAGAAAGAGTCAGCTCAGACCTGGTTCGCGCGGCTCTTCAGCCGCGGGGTGGCTCCACGGCCAGTCTCAGTGTCCGGTTTCATCCGGGTCTCGGACACCCTGAAGGCCATCGCTGACCCAAGCTGCTTCCATCTTCACCAGATCCTGTCGACCCGGTGACCGCCCGAAGGCTGACGCCCGACCAAAGAGAAACGCGAGAAAAAAGACGTGGCTTTTTTCTCAAACGTTTTAGCGAACACCACTAGTCTAAGTAGAACCTAAACACAACTTGTCGAAGGACAATCGTCTTGTCGACTGGGTCCCCTTTTGAGGTTCTTTGTTTACCTTACAGATAGATGCGCTGAGAATGGGACCTTCCTATCCAGTGATTTTGGGCGCTCGAAAGAAAGGGACACAGCCTTCTAGGTCGCTCTCCCCGGGATCAATCCTCCAGAATTCCAGACGGGATGCCGTTCCGGAACGGAGGGTGCTGGTAACGGAGGGTGCCCCGAACGTCACATCCACAGCCACGACGGATGGGACGAACCAAACAAGGCCCTGGCTTGAGTTGCTTTCCATCGGCCAAAAGAAGAACTTTTTGCAAAAAAAAGAAGTCTGGCAGAAAAAGCACTTGCTGAAACTCGGATGATTTGGACCCATTTGGGGGGCCGAAGGTCAGGCGCGAGGTCCAAGCGCGAGGTACTCTGCCACTTCTCCTCCCAGCGTCCTGCTCAGAGGTCTCCCGGAGGGCTCGCAAAGGCCCTTGGATCACGAGGGAGCCTCGGGAGTGCCCAAACGACCTGGAGACCTGGAAACCGGGCGTCTCTCGACCCATGCGTGGGGTCTTAAGAAAGAACACAGGGATACTTCACTGCTTCATGGTTTTCCCACTCCGAAACGCCCCGAAGCTGTGCTCCCCGCCGCAGGGCAGGCGCGCCCGGTATTTGGTGCGGCCTCCGATGACCTCCTGCGCGGAGCGGCACGGAGCGGAAAAGCGAGCCTCGACGGGGGAAACGAAGGAAAGCCTTCATAAGAAGCAAGCTAAAGCTCTTAGATGAGTGTGTGGCAAAAGGACTGAAGTCTTGAAGGAAGTGGCGAACCAAGCCCTTCATGCCCTTTGTTTTCCCTACTGCTTCGACAGACCGGCAAGTGGGACAAGTCCACATGGGCAGCAGCCATTCGTGGGTGAACTGTCCAGCTGATTGAGCTTGATGAATGTCCATTTTGTGGAAGTACACTGCTTCGCCGGTTGGCGCTGACACCAAAATGGTTTCGTAAGCTTCACTGCCGTTGAAGAAGTGTATACCTAGATCTTCCAACTGTGCAACATTTATACATTTTAGTTGATTTAATGGATGAAAAGGCAGAAACTCTGCACAGTTGGAAGATCCAGGTATAACTGGTTGCTTAAGCTTCAGCGGCGAGGCAACCAGCTTAAGCTGGTTTCTCTCAGGGATTGTGGCGATGTGAAGAGAAATACCGCTATTTCTTAAATCCTTGGCAACCGTTCTTCTCTATTTGGACTCCGAGTTCACCATCCATCAGCGTTTGATGCCTGCAAAGCGCATGAGAGATGATGGAGATCGCCGTCTCATTTTCCCGTTGGACTTCCCGTTGGCTCCGTGCACCGTTTCTGCCACTCTATCGGTGGACACACCAATACGACTTGAAGGGTTTGTTTCCGTGACTAGGGCACCAATGACTTCGAAAACAGCGAGGGCGACGACTTCGAGTGTTTTGATGCCTACTTCGTTGCACAGACGCACCCAGTTGGTCAAAGAGTTGCATCTTCGCTGGTTCACGTCAGGTCCTTGCCCCTTCCACCCTTCGGAGATCTGGCCACGTCCCAATCGACCACCCCCGGGAACAACGCGCTCTGGCAGCGCCTCATGGATCTTGGCACCAGCGACGCTACCTCCTGTGGACGCGCTCCAGTGGAGAGGGGACACATCGGTGGGTCGGGCAGTGGCCGGGAACAGCGGTGCCGTTTCACCTCAAGAGGTGAAAACCGCTCTGTGGCAAAGTCCGTCAGATCAGTGGGAAGGAACAGCTAATTGGTCACCGCATCTGTCCACTGGGGAGAGCTGAATGGAGGTCCTTTTGCCGCAAAACCCAGGACTCCTGGTGGACACCTCACAGGACTCCTTTCAGAGGCCCTTGCTTATCTAAGTGACGCTGTTACCTTCGAAAACATCAAAACGCTATTGGGTTGCATTAGGTTGGAGGCCATCGCTACTAGTAACAAAGGGCATCGCTACTAGGAGCAAGAAGCTACTAGTAGCTCCTGGCATTACTACTAGCAGCAAGAAGCTACTAGGTTGGAGGCCATCGCCATCACTTCCCCTGGAGCTGTTGTCCTCGCCTCCAGCCGAGCGCCTCAGTTGGGGTTGGGATACAAAAAGGAGAAGAAATGACAAGTGTTCAGTGTTCACCTATGTTTGATCAATTATGGCGTTGCAGTCACCAATCACCAACATCACCAACATCACAATTCGTCCCACCCACATAGGCGTTTTCCAAAGAGCATGAGGGTAACCTGCTTTGACATTTTTGGATTGACCAGTGCTCAAATAGAACAACTAACCCTTCAGACTTCCGTTCTGTGACGTTCGCTTTGCGCTGTTTCTTGTTCTGCCCTCAGTGAGATCGTGTGCTTCGGCTTAGAGTCGTGGACTTTTGCACAAACGAAGTGGCAGAAAACAGTTCTGAAACGAATGTCGTGGTGTGCAGGGCAGCGCTGCTTTGGTGGTTTTGGTTGATGCTTTTGTATAGAGGTCGATCCGCCAACTGTTCTTTGCGAATGCGGGACGCTTCACTCCACGTCCTGGGCACCGCGGCGCTTCTTCGGGCTTCTCGGCGTCCCTGGAGGAAAAGGACGTCCGGGCTGTTGGGGAAGTTCGGCGGGGTTCGGAGGCTTTCGGGCAAGAAAACCCTTGTTGAAATTAGGTGGTGGAACAGCTGGTTCCAAAAGGTTTTCCTTCGCATGTCGGACCTCCAGCGGGCAGCTTTTGGGTTGGTTCCTCTTCCTTGGGAGAGAATCACAACATCTCATCCCAAGCCTACCGGTGCCATTGGTCTTCGTTCACCTTTGTTTTGCAGAACTTCAGCCTCACCGGTGCCATTGGGCACGGGCCTACTGGCTTATCCAAGGTGGGTTCAACCAGGTCAGGTGGTTCAATGCTACGAAGGGGTTCTCACAACTTGACCCTTCCCCATTCTCAGCAGCTCCCGGGCGCCGGGCGCAACCCCCTTCCGCCTGTCGTCCTTGTCTCGATCCTTTTCTCTATCCTTAGAGCACTGTCGTGTGCTGCGAACCCGTAGCAGCTGGCCGCGTAGCAGCGAAATGAAGGATCAGCTGTGCGGCATCTTCTTCCGAAAGCTCTCTACACACGGCAGTTCCCTCTTGTGAGGCCTTGGCAACCCCCCAGTTCCCTGTCCCAAACCTGCTGGTGCCCGTGTGGAACCCTGGACTCTTGGATTTTGCTTTTTTAAATGCATGATTGATAGGTGGGCCCGCTTTTGGTTGCCGCCGGGCAAAACGAGGCATGGTAGACTAGACCCATGGACCATTCACCATTTCTTCCCTTTGGGCTGGGGTTCGGAGCGAGGTGCTAACATGTTGCTGTCTTCGTTTGAACCGCTTCGAACGTCGTTCGGAAACCACCATCGCTGTCGTCGTTCTGGGTTCTGGATGGAATGTTTGCGATGCCTTTGCAGTTTTCTTGATGTTTCAGATGGGAAATTCACCAGAACCCAGTGACTTTGCCTGTAACCCTCCCAAAAAGGCCCGCTACACATTAAGCTGACAAGATATCCAGGAGGCAGTATCACTGTGGTACCGCTCTGTCTGCGTGATCCAAGTCTCTTTATCTCTATCATCATCACGTCGGTCACGCCTCTCCTCCTGGCGCGTGTATTTTCTCGGGGCGAGGTCAGCTGGGTGCACAAAGCACGAAAAGGAGAACAAGTGCGTGGCTAAATCCCACAAACATTAATGTTTGCAAAGCAGTGGTCAAGGATTCTTCAGTTCAAGCGGAGGTCTACGGAATTCGAACGAACTCACACGCGTCCCTGGTGTTTGATTTCTATTTGGTGCGTCTCATGTAGGATTCGTTCATGGTCCGTCAGCTATTTCCAGTGTCACCGCACGCAAATTTTGCACAGCCTGGTGGTCAAGAGCCCTTGGATGGCAGTTAGAGGTCTTAAACATGGAAATCATACCTGGACCTTCAAAGGGGTGTCCTGTCTGGAGGTAGGTCGTGGGCTGGGGCTTCCATTGGCGACCCCGACATGAAGGTACTGGCAGGTTTGTCAAATAGCATCTTTCAATGGCCACCCGGTTGCGCAACCGTTGAACAAACGTTGCCCCACCTTGACCCGTCTCTGTGTCCTTCCCTCTCTTCCGCGAACAGAATTTGGACCTTCTCTTGGAGCTGGGATCCGGCTTCCAAACAGGTCAAGAGCTTCTAGAGGATTCTGCCAAGCCTGGCTGACCTTCACAATCCGCGACCAACCTCCGCGTTTCCTTCTTCCGCTTTTTCTCGTCCGCGGTGGCTGCGAACGACGGAGGAGGCGTCGCGTCGGCGTCCTTCCAAGATCTCTCCTCTCGTCGTGGGCTGCGACGAGGGCTCCTGGCGATGGCTAGGCGCCCGGCTGGTGGGTTTTCCCCTTCGCCGGGCTGCATGCTGTGGTCGGAAGGGACGAAGTCAACAAATATCTTTGGCTGGAAGACTGATGAGTGGAATTTCTGCCAAAGCAGATTCTGGCTGTACATGGCTGTAAGAGCTACTTTGCTTGCAGTTCATTTCTACTAAACCAAGAAGAAACTCGAGTAGATCTCAACCAGTCTCGCTCAACCAGTCTGGTCGTTGGCATTTCAGGTTCGAGGCTGGTGGGGCGAAACCCCTACAATCCCCAGGTGTGCCGCGACGAAAGCGAACTCTCCAACGATGGGGGTTTCCCGAAGCCTATGAGTCGGGAGGCAGGGACTCCCAGGAAGCTGGAGAAAAAGTGAAGGGTCGATGTTGGCTGTTGGGATGTTGACTATTGGCTGCAAAGGACATCTTCAGACCCCTGCCGTGGCACCCATCACAGGCTGCCTTTGCCCTACAATGAGCTAAACACATCTTGAACACCTGGCCGAAAGGCAGTGGCCGAAACAAGTACCAAAAGGTTCCGCTCCTCATACCATGCCATCCTCCAACCAATTCGATCTCACTGGTATCACCGAATTCCCAGCAGCACAATGGAAGTATTCCATGAGCATTTCAAGAGAGGGATGAGTTAATTCACCCATTTGGGTCCAATCACATCGCCTGTCCCGCCATTTGGACTTCGCTTCTAGGTGGGAGGCCATCGCTCTTCTTTCGGTTGCCGGACGTCACCGCGCCACCGAACGGCCGGACGGCCCGATCTCCCCGTCTCCTGTCGCGCTCCCGGCGCTCGCGGCTGTCCCGCCGCCGCTCGCGGCTGTCTCGCCGACGGTCGCGGCTATCACGGCGGTCCTCGGAGAAGCCAGGTGGTCGGCCGACGGGTCGCTCAGGGTCGGATGTGCATCGGCTCCACCAGAGATGAAAGCGAATGTGTTTCCTTTGGTCTTTTCTCCATTTCATCTCCATCGAAAAGAAGGAACGAACATTTGTGGTCCAGTGGTGAATACACAGACCATCCAATTTCAACTCGTGAGAGAAGCCATTTGGACCACACAGACCATTCCAAAGACGTGGAACTGTGGTCTTGATGTCTTTGAGGTGGCGCCTTTGCCTCAAAAATGGAGGCACACCCACCAAACCACCGAGAATTGCACAAAACATCAGGAGAAGGTGGGATTTGCATTGGGTTCTACTGCTTTCAGACTTAGAAGTAGAATTCATGGCGGACAGTGAGCAAAGAAAGTGATGTAACTCCCCACTTCTTACTGCTTCAAGGAAACCACAGGTGGGAAGTCGGTTCCTTTTTCTCATCTCTGGCGGTGGAGGAAGCCTCGCTACAAATCCTGGTTGGAAGCCTCTCTGGCCCAGGCTGGCGAAGGCAGTTCCGACGGGTCACCCGACAGTTTCATTCGACCAGCAGAAACCATTTCGGAGGGTTTTGGGAGGTCTATAAACCACCCAAACTGGGTGGTGCTGGTATGGGTTTATTCTTGTTTTTATGAGACAAGACATGATACCAAGCATAGAGACGCTCAGTTTGCACCGCCTAAAGACCAGTAAACTCAGGTTGCCTGCGACAAACGTCGAATGTCTGCGTTGAGAGCTGAACGAAGGTGGTTGACCTCAACTTTTCATGCTTCAACCCTGAGACTGACTGCTTCGGTGCTTCGTCTGGGTGCGCGGGCGGAACGGAAGGAGTCGCGGTACCTGGAAGGAGAAGGAGTCGCCGAATTTCGAAGAGGCTGAGCCTCTGGAGCTGAAAGATCGGACTAAACCGGAACGATCGGTAAACTGGTCCGATCTGCTCCTCGCCGAGTGGGTGGTGGGTCAAAGGTGTTCAGTCTGTGCGAGGTGGGGGTGCCTGCAATCCTCTCCTCCTTCCGTTTTGGGAACGGCGAGCCGAGCCTTCAGAACAAGGGCGATGCCCGAAAGGGAATTGAGGGCTCCACACTTGGTGATCCATGGAAGACATAGGGACTTCCTTTAAAACAAAGCCCATGGATTCATCGCACCACCTGAAAAAAATTGTTTTGTATGACCCCATGGATTCCATCATGACTTTCTCCTTACCTTTCTCCTTTCAACTTTCAAGTCATGTTTCCAGAAGATTCGATTGAACACACTAGTAGCTTCCCTGGTTTTTCCGCCGGATCTTCGTTCTTCGAACACATCCCCCCAACGCCGTCCATCCTCGTCCCAAATTCTGGACTCGGAAGCCCCCCCACTTTTTCACGCAGAACCCAAACCTGTCATTCCCCAAAAAAGAGGCCAACAGGCAGACGTCTCAGGTCTAAACCAAACATATCATCCCGGCCATACCTCTTCCGGTTCTTCTGCGCTGGTAGGGAGGGCACCGATCCCGATCTCGGTCCCTCCGGTCCATGGCCTGGGAACCGGTGCGCGTCCGATCGCTCGCGAGAGGTAAGCCCCCCCAAGAGCAAATGACTGCAGACCATGTAACCCAGTTTATATGTGACATCTGCCCGGAGTATGTAGATTTTTTGGTATATACACATACAATATGACGTCCCTGTCGACGAGAAAACACACGCACACAATGAGACTCTTCCCCAGCGAAGCTTCGACTGGTCTGATGGCTTCGCAATTGGAATTCAGCCTGGTGACCAAGGGAGGAATTGTTTCCTTTGGAGCAAGGGCGGTATTTACACTCCCGAAAACTCACATGGACCCGGGAGCGAATGGCACCTGGAAGGGCTGTTTTCTTTGCACGCTGCACCAGTGCTTTTCAGGGTCCATGTCTTTATTTTCCACGGGGTACTCCTTGTACCTCACCATCGCCCCTTGTAGCGATCACTCCCTTTTCGCAAAAAAGGCGGTCGTGGCTCGTGGTCCGCGAATAAAAACACACCAAAACCTCGGCAGGTTCCGCCGAGGTGCAAACACCACGGCGGTCCACAAAGCTCCGATCCGAGACTCACCCCCTTCGGGGGAGGTCTCCCGGATCACGAGCTCCAAAACGGGTGATCCTAACGGGCCCTTGTGCGGATTCCAGCAACATGCTTCATGCTTCAAGGAAAAACACGTTGGGAGATCTTTTTCAGGGAAGAACCTCACAAAACGTCAGCTTCGTGAAGTCACTGCAGTCGCAAAAAACCGCAGTCAGAGCAGTGGAGACGCTACCGGTATTGGGTGGAGACGCTTCTCGTCTCGGTATGGCGACGTGCACCATCTGGATGTGTCTCAACAGCCGTTTAGATGCTTTCGATCTGAGATGTCTCAACAGCCGTTTTCATGTCTCTCAGCTGCGGCGTTTTTGAGATGTGGACTCGGGTTTCTGATGGTCGACTTGAAGGATGCCGTGACACACCCAATGTATTCCTACAGGTATTTTTGTTGGAAAAATCTGGGATTTGCAAGGACCCATGCCCTGAATTGTAGATACCATTGACCTCCAGCAATTACCAGAAGACTCCCGGTACTCTCCCATTTCATGCCATCGATCGCCTTTGCTTCTCGATCGCCTCGTCTCTGGGCGTTGGCTCGCCTCTCCGTCGTCCTAGGCGTCTTGCATCGTCCGTCCCGTGGGTGAATAGGCCGTCTCAGGCATCTTGTTCTCCTCCTTTTCTCGTGTATTTGGAGCGGCCAAAGCCATTCCTGCAGCGTGGTGGATCATTGTGGCCATTCCAACCTCCTCCCGTTCTTCGACGTGAACAGAGCTTGGTGAGATGCTTCCATTGGTGGGTGGTATATGTTCTTTGCGGAGGCTTCTGTCAGCGAAAGAAAGGGGTCCTACCGTCCCGTTCTGCGTCAGTGGATTCGGCGTCGGCATCGCGACCGAATCGACCCGCCCCCACCTCCCAAGATGGTGATCACGGCTCCAGCCAGCTGGCTGGGCGAGAGCTGGTCAGTGCGCAGCAGCAGGGCATCCAGGAGAATCACCAAGAACCTACGGTGAAATGGTCCGGTTTTCGAGCTTCACGGGGAGGAAGGAGAGGTGGGACATGTGTGTGTGTGCCCCTTGTAGTCACAGGGATTCTTTTGAATTGTTTTGTTTTGTTTCAAGCAGGGGGACATGGCGTGCGTTCAGGGACCATGTCCAACGAAGCTACCTGACGCACGGGATATAAGAGCTGATCACTCTCACGTACCTGCAATTTTCCACTGCCTTTCAACTTTTAAGCTTTCCGTCATTCACTCTGCAGATGTGCACGTACGACGTCACCCTGTCGCTCCGATCTCGACTTGCGCTTTGGGCCACCTTTCCTTTTGAAGACCTCCAGGATCCAGGGGTTCGTACATGTACTCTTAGCAAATGGAACCCTAGGCCGGCGTGTGGCACCGCTGTCAAGTCAGTACGCATATCCATAAGTGTGTGGCTTGTTGGGGCGGTTGGGCTCTGACTTTCTTTCGGACTCTTTCAATGGGATCTGGCACGATTGGATTACGCTGTGAACAAAAATCACCCAAGATCGCTGCAAACAAACAGTTCCAAGAGGAAAGACCATGCATCTACATACATTTTGATACAAGCAACGCCAAGTCTGCACATGCAGCAAGTGGATCGAAGATTCTCCTCTATCCAGTTGTCATCCGAAACACCAGCTGCGAATGTGTTTCACGTGCACCTGAGAATTCCCGGACCCTTTCTACATCTTGCCATGGGGTTTCTCGGACTCTTTCGCACTGGCTTCGAATTTGTTGAGCGGAAGGTTTCGAAGCGTCCCCGCAGCGTCTTCCGCATGGAAAAAAACATGCTTTTCCCTTCTGAATCCCCCCACACGCTCGTCAGTCCTGAGTCCTGCGAAAAAAAGAACGACCCCACCTGTTGGCATTCACCAGGATCAGCATGCTGGTGGCGCTAATGAGGCTTTGACACCAAATGTTCGTGTAGCTAATCCCCACCTGATCAGGTTAGCCCGGGGCCATTCGCGCGTCAGCCGTTTGGGGGTTTGGGGCTCCGCCGGCGGTGCCATCGATCCTTCGATCCTTCACGGTCGAACGGTCTCCCCGGTCGTTTCGAACGGTTTTTTGGGCGGTCGGACCGAAACTCTGTGGTGGGTTTGGGTGGGGCCTAAACGAATCCCGATCGGTTTGGGGAGGAAAGCGTCTGCTTGCATCCGATGGATGGCACGGAGGTCACCACCTGCCACGGCCGATGTCTGCAAAAGCCATGCAACGGAGACCTGTTGGGTTCGGTGCTGGTACAGGTGCTGCAAGAAAAATTAGCTTTCTTTGGACAAGTTCTCCACTCGACGTGCGAGCGAAAAACGCGAGAACAGCGGAGAACATTCCCGCTCTCTCGCTGTGCCGAGAAATCCGATGCCGAAGTCGTGCTTTTCCAAACGCCCCCTTGTCCCAGCAGCAAGGCAGACCTGATTGTCATCCATTGTCCCATTTCATCCCATTTCGCAAACGGGATGAACTTTGTGGTCGAACATCTTTGTTTTTTGGAGGCTATAGGCCCTCTTGTGGCCTCAACGGTTCCCATTCTCGGCTGAAAGCGCCAAGAAGCTGCGACCACACAGCTGATGACCATCAAATTCGTCTCCCTCTGTGTCAGGGACATCAGCGCGGCTGGGGCCGAGTGGACCTCTCCTGACCACGTCTCGGACGGAACGCCCTCCGCCGGAGGTGTCGGAACAAGACTAGAAACAAGGGCATCGCTACTAGTAACAAGTGCCTTCCTACGAACGGGGCTCCTGGCCTTACTACGAACGGAGCAAGAGAACGCGAACCGAACGGAGCAAGACGGGCATCGCCATTCCCCAACTCAAAAAGGTCGGTTCCGATGTGGGCGCGGAGAAGCACAAGGCATCGATTGGTCGGAATCTTTCCACTTCGGAAAAAAAAGGGAGCTCCCAGGGCAACTAGTAGCGTCCTTGTTACTACTAGTAAGGCACTTGTTACTAGTAGCGATGCACTTGTTCCTAGTAGCTTCCTACCCTTCTTCTTTGGCTTTTGGAGGAAAAAGGTCGTGTTGGATGCTTCGTGGTTACTTCTTCAACTCCCAAAACTGGAACCTCCCTCTCCTGTGAAATAGGCCGTGACCAGCAGTGGCAGCAGCCCTAAGGCGTTGTTGATCAAGGAGCATCCACTCTTCGAGATGTCCACAGGATTCCTCAACCAATGGCGATGCCCCAAGAACTGACGACGGGTCTGCCGCTCGCTCGGACGGCGGGTTTCGCCAGGTGTAGAGCGGCGATCGAGATGGCGGAGTTCGTGGTCCGTGGAAGATGCCAAAAGTGGCCCTGAAGGTGCAAAATGGGTGGACCTTCTTTGTGCCAAATGGGTGGACCTTCTGGCGGCTTCGTGTTTGGGATGCATCCGCCACTCACGGAAAAGATCCCATCAAGCACCTCTGCACAAAAGGACACCAAGAAACTCAGCGGCATATAGGGGCATCATGATGATCATGCATAGCGATGCTATGTCAGATGGGAATTTGCTCGCAATCGAGACCTTCGGACGTTTTCTTCGGACCCCCCCAAGCTGAGACGGAAAGCCCACCAGACGTGACACACCCAACACTGAACAAATCGACGGGTCGGGCGGGCGATGCGCCCAACCGATTGACAGACACTCATCCTTTTTCAACCAGAGAAGACAACCAGGACCGACCCCGTTCGTCCGGTGGTTTTTCCACACCCCGTTGGCCTTGAAACCTCTTCCGTCCGAGGCTATTGTATAAAGACACCCCCGTAGAGGAAAGGGTCATGGAAGAGACCACGTGTTGCGACTGCTTTTCCTTGTGGAAGAGCGGTGTGGATGGCTGCCGTCAGGGACCTCAACCCCTCCCAGGTCTTTCTTTCCACCGAGTTCGCGAACGTGTCCGCCGCTTGGGTCCGGTGCCGCTTTGGCTCTGGTCCGCGGCCAGCATCTTCCGCTGCAGGAGCCGCGTGAGCACGGAGAAGCAGGTGTTCACGGCGATCCATCCGACACCCACCAGGTGCCGGAACTCCAGATCTTTCGTGTAGAGCAAGGCACCTGAGAGAGGAACTTGGAGCGTGGAGCAAGCTTTTGGAGTTAGCGAGCTCTGTCGACAGTGTGTTATTACTGGAGGGGGAGAAGAAACGGCATCTATATGGAAGTCTTGTGTTTCTCTTAAAGACACAAATGGAAGGATAGTATAGTCCTTTCACCTTCTGCTGGTCGATGAGTTGAGGGATGTGATCTTTTTGTGAATGTCCATCTTGTGGTTGATCCTTTTCCATTTTCACTCTTCTGTGCTCAGCCCGGTCCGTTGTGTCGCGACCCAAACCCGCTCAGCACTGCTGAGGCGCCTAGGACCATGATGAAGATTGAGAGGATCATCTGCCGGTTCACGTGAAGCACCGACGAGCGGTTCATCTCGGCCATCAACGCGAACATCGGCGACATGGCGCGGACCACGATGACCAAGGTCCTTGGCGACGGGTTGGAAGGCGCAGTGAATATTTGGTAGGAAAGGTCGTTTCCGACTTAAACCGGAACAAGAATGAATCACTGGAGAACCATCTCACATAAGGTTGGTCTTTTGAACGGAGTCCTTGTTAGCGGAAAGGCCTCACCGCAGAACACGAACACTGCGCTTGGCCCCAAACGGCGAAGTCGGTGGAACGGACGGTCGCCGTTCGGCGGTCGAACAAAAGACTTTAAGGCCTCCAACCGAGCCAAGCGATGGAACTACCAGGGGCCTTGGTTTGGGTGTGTCATAGAGTTAATAGCTCCTTTCAGGTGATTCAGGATGTCCATTCACTCAACTCCCTAAGGGGTCCTGGTCAAGGCTTGACCATCGGAACGATGCAGAACTTCTAAGGCGTGTCTTTTGCCCAGCTCTCACTGACCTTCGTCAGACCCACCTGACCAACTGCTCTTGGGCCCTTGATTCGAGGTGGCACTTGGCACTTGGCGCCAGGCGCTGCGAAGCACTGAGCTGTTTTGAACATCGAAGTATCCAAGCACAGGCCCACCCAACAGAGGTAGCCAGTGACCTGAACTAGGACCCGTCACCAGGGGTACCTATATATAGGATAGTCTAGTTCGGGTTGTTCAACCTCTGCTGGACTGCCAGACTGCCAGTGAGTTCACCATCCTTTCCAGAAACCAGTTCCATGTGGATCCATGGAGTTCATGGGGGTGCCGAACGGAGGCTTGTTGCGGTCGGTGCCCTGAGGTGGTGCGGTGCCCTATCACCACTCACGACCAATCCAAAGCATTCCTTTGAAACTGCACAAATCATCCCACCGGTCACGTGACCTTCTCCCTTTCACTGCACCGCCCTCACCACCGTGGCGCATGGTGCAGTGTTTCAAGGCCAGCCTTGGGAAGTTCACCCGTCCGGCAGGACGAAGGAGCTGCTCCACCGTGGGTCCACCGGGGCCAACGGTCCACCGTCCGAGGACCGGTCCAAAGCGACCTTCCAAAACCTCCTTCCCAGACGCTCCGTGAAAACCGTTCGACTGGTCCCGAAGCAAACCATAGGGATTGGTGAGAAGGTCCAGACCCTGGGTCCCAGTGCGGGTCCAAAACGGGGTGCGACCCCCATCCTTTAAACCAAATCCCGGGAGCCCTGTCTGGGTTCTACCTCCAAGGAACAAAACGGTCCAAGCAAATGAAGATCCACCCAACTTCGGGTTGTTGGGTTGCTGCCACGCTGCTGAATCTAGTCTGTCGCTTCTGTACGTCGCGCCGGCAGAAACCACATCCCTCTTGCGGAATGGGACAAGGACAGGCGGCTTTGGCGGTTCGATGGTTGGACCAATGCAGCTGGGTTTGTTGATGAGCTCAAGTTCCCCCGGAGCAGCGCCCAGCCCCCCCCCGGCGGCAACAGAAAGTCGTTCGCCCGGAGCGGAGCACGGTGCCGAGGGGCATGGAGGTCAACAACATTCCTGCGAAGCACGGTGCCACCAGGGACCAGCGTAGCGCATCGCGCAGGGAGCCCACGTGCAAGGTGGGCCAAGCAGCCACGAGGACCAAGACAGTGAAGGCCATCTGCAAAGCGGTCAACCTGCGCAGAAGACCGAAGCATCGCTCGTGTTCGAAGCCTTCGGCCGCCTTCGGTTTACGGGTCGTCAAGAGAATGCCAACGGTCGGCATTGACAGGAATGTGATGACAGGAATGGATGAGTTGGGTGGGCAGGATCGAAATCGAAGGTGTCTGAGCGCCTCATCCGGGTGGTGTTTTCTGGCAGAAACCCGGATCGAGTTGGCCAGTCCACCAATCCCACAAAACCAGGGGTCCACGGAGGGCCTCGGGGCCATGACAAAAAGACTCCTAGGACACCACAAATCCTAGGAATCCAGTTTTTCTGGTCAACAGCTTCTTCTTGGCGCAGTCACGTGCTTTCATAGGGGAAGACGGTGATGGCCAGCTTGTTGGTGACCTCGGTCGGAGAACAGCGCCCGCGCCCGGGCCCACGAAATCGGTGTTTGACCGGGGGTTCTTCCTCCATGAAGCTAGTGAACATCACTCTCAATGGTCGTCGTTGGTGACCCGAATTGAGGAATAGATCGTCGAACTGGACTTAGCCGGGTTCTTCCAGACCCCCCCCAAAGCCTCAAAAACAAAGCCTCTGATTCTTCGGTACACGTTGGAAACCGAACTACTAGTCTACGTTTGGGACGCTCCAGCAACATGTGCGAACCTCAAATCCACACTCCCCCACAACTTGCGGTTTTGCATGTCTGTTCCAAGGCCAGTAAAGAAGGCTGTCAGAATTGGTTTCAGAAAAGGCCCACTGTCTTCTATGAGTTTCAGCGCATGTTTTTGGAGGGGTGTCCCTCCAGGACCTGCAGAGTGGAGGACAAATCTCTTCCAAACCCTGTGGTTTGCGCTGTTTCTTGGCCTCAAACTCCACCAACTGGATCGAACCGAACGCCATGCAAATCCGGATTTACGACCAAGTCACAATCATCGAGACCGAGCAGAATACAAAGCTGGACACGCTAAGCCTCGCTTTGCCCGGTCGACTGGTCAATCCGCCGATAGAAACACCAGAACAAGTGCATCGCTACTAGTAGCTAAGGGCATTACTACTAGTAGCAAGAAGCTACTTGCTAGCGATGCCCTTGCTACTACTAGCGATGCCGAGGGAGAACTGGCCAACACTAGGTCAGGACGAGCCGTGACCACTTGTGTCTTGCAGGCCATCTTAAACAATAAAGAGCCTCCTTCTACATCTTCCATGGATTGCATCAGTTGCACCTACCTGTTCAACCTTTCACCATGTCCCTTTTGGCCCGGTCCGGGGCACCGGTCCGGTTCTCCGGCGCTGGCCTTCGGGGCTCCGCCTCCTAAAAGCAAGGGCCAACCTACGGAGGGCCTCCAACCGAAGACTCTCATTCTTTACACCCAAAAGCCCTCCAGTTCCTTCTTCTGCGCCCAGGAATGACCTCCACGGGGAAAAAGCCACCCAATTAAACTTAATTTCAATACTAGTTTCTAATGGCTTCTTGTTACTACTAGTAAGGCACTTGTTACTAGTAGCGATGCACTTGTTACTACTAGCACTTGTTTAATGGCGCGTGTGTCTTGCCAGGATGCAGCGTCTCCACCGTCTCCAGCAGCGAGCCATTCTTCGACATGGCGCACGGCGCGCCGTGAGGCTTCGCTTCGGTGGACACCGGGCTCTTCGGTGGACGCTACTAGTCACTGTGAGAGCGCCACAAAGCTTGCGAGTCTGAGGGGTTTGGAGTGTGGGTGGGGTGAAGTGGCGAAGGGTTGATCGCCAGTGCGCATTCAGCAGGCTAGATGAGCTCTGGTCCTTCTGTTCGCATGTAGTGAACCCTAGAGGGTTACACCAATTCATGGGGTGAGTTTCGCCCTTCTCGTTCGATGTGGCCCACGGATGTTGCAAGTACGGATGTTGCACAACTCACACATCCATCCATTGCTTCGCCATCAAGCCAAACGCTAATGGTCCACAGGCGGTCAATTCGATTGGAGCAATGATACTAGTAGCAGACATATTGGGAAAATCAACTACTCGTGCATGATCTTAGAAACATCACAGCCCTGCTGGAGGGTCTACCCTCAGTATCCTAATCACCTTCGTGTGTGCACCTTCCGGCGCTCCAACAAAGAGTCTAAAAACGAATCTCAACGCCTGCAGTTCGACGCTTAGATGGACCAACCTGCGGGGATCCTGTGACATCATCACCCTCCAAAAGCCCGATAGACTCCAGTGTCGAAGGGATCAAGGAGAAGTTCTCCTCCTCTTTGCATCAAGTTCCAGATCTAGTGGCTTGAGTGGCACCACATCTGACCCTAAGTGGATTCTGACGACTCGTCGGGTGTCACCTTGACCTCAAGGATGAGGAAAAAGGGGTCCCTTTTTCCTCGTCTTCTTTTTTCATGTCTTCTCGATCGCATGGTGTTCTTGTTGTGAAACACTTTGACACTCACTCCCTTGAGTCCTCCTGGAAACGCTGTTGACCAGCAACCACCAGCGACCTGGACAGTATTCACCAACTCCGCCAGCTTACTCACTTGTTTCTACCAGTTCTTTTGCAGCAGTCATCTGGAAACACACCTAACTCATCGCCTAGTCATACTTCGTCGGAATCCGGTGAAAAACAAGAGAATTTTCCCAGATCGAATGAGTCCCCCTTGGCCGCTTGGCTCAACCCCAAACACTCGGCATCCTCCCCAAGTTCGGTCTTTTAGCTTCATCCAAAGGAACACATCGTTCGGGCTTTGTACCATCGAACCTCTGAAACCGCTCTACACTTTCGCTCCAAGGGCACGCCAATGGGGCGCCGGACCCGAAACGGTCACACCCAACCCCCGGTGACGCTTCCGCCGAGTTACGGAGATCGGGCCGCCCCACCGACACCGGACACGGCGGCCGTTTTTCCGCCGCAGGCGGTTGCTGTGAGCCCGGTTGGAGTGGTCGAACCGAAAGGTTTGGTGAAAGCAGGTGGTTGTTCTCCAAATGGAAAGAACTACCTTTTTGGAACTCTTTTCTTCATGTTTGATGATGGTCTATGGTGGTGCAGGGAAAACACTTCGGTGGCGAAGTCTCTGAAAAGATTGACTTCACATAAATATGCATAAATTAATAAACAATGTTGTGTAAATATAAGTTAAGTATATAGAACTCTGAACAAACATGCCAATGCCAACCTTCGTCGCATCTGTTACACACATAAGAGCGAACCAACACGCACACCCTGCTCAAAGCCGCGGGACTTTGAACAAACCTTTACTGTTTACCTCAAGTCTTTCGCCATCAAAAGGGTTGACTCCATTTTTTTCTGCAAACACAGCAGGAAAGGCTTCTGGTCACACGCATCGCTACACCGAACGGAGCGACGCTACATAAACGGCATCGCAACGGAACGCTACCGGGGCGATCGAACGTAGCGAGTTTCTGGCACGGCAAACACTGGAAATGAAGGATCCACATGGAGGACTAAAGAAACAGGACACGACGTCTTCACCTGAGAGGTTTCCCCAATCCCAAAACAGTTTCTTCCAGGTTCGGGGTAGGAACAAGTGCATCACTACTAGTAACAAGTGCCTTACTAGTAGTAACAAGTACCTTACTAGTAGTAACAAGAAGCTAGTAGAAACAATAAATCGAATTAAACTTGTAGGAACAAGTGCCTATGTAGTGTCCTAGTCCCTGTCAGAGATTTGAGAGGTGACCAAGGCAGATTCCCAATCCTTCCAAGGGTTGGCCTATGGTCGGACGCGAGCAAAAACCCTACTCCGCCGATCGATGTGCATCGATCCACAAACCAAAACGATTGGGTGGTGCTTTTGGATGCGGCGACCGTCGTGGTTTGTATGATATTCTCCCAGCCCTGAGGTTGGCAAGACTCGTCTTTTTGGTTCGCTCTGTCGACGAGTCCTGCTGCCGACTGGGAATTGCAAGACGTACGGCTTTGCAGGTGATCGGGAGGTGTACGGCTTGCGGCAAAAAGATGTCCATGGCCTCAAAACCTTTTTTGAGATGGACAAGTGTTATGATGTACCTTACAGCCTAACTCTGAAATCTCAAGGATTCATAAAAAAGCAAAAAAAAGGCAAAACCACACTCACAAAGGATGACCAGGAAATGCAAAAGAAATGCATAAAAAAAGCAAAAAAAGGCAGCTGGTCAAAAAGAGTGCATATCAAAAAGCAAAAAAAATGCAAAAGGAAGCCAGAAAAAAAGCAAAAAAAAAGCAAAAAAAAAGCAGAACAGCAGTTCAAAAAAAGCAAAAAAAATGCAAAAAAAATGCACATGCACAACCAAATTTCACACACCACCCTTTTTTGTGCGATTTTTTTGCATTTTTTTTGCATTTTTTGTGCGTTTTGTTTTGCATTCTTTTGTTTTTTTTGTGCGTTTTTTGTCGATTTTTTTGCGTTTTCTCAAGGAAACGCACAAAAAAATGCAAAAAAATCGCAAAAAACGCAAATACAAAGCAAAAAA